AGCATTAGACTTAGATACTTCCATCCAATTTTCCTTAAGTTGAAGATAATAGCAAACATCATCGAAAGTCTTTGTACTCTCATTGTAGGTAAGATGCATTTTCATATGCTTCTAATTATGTGGTAAAAAATGGATAATAGCTTGAACCTATTGTTCATCTATCAAAGTATGACCAACCTCTTTTAGCTTGCTTATCATGTTTGATATCTCTCTCACATGCTACCTTATATTATGATTAAACTACATTTTATGTATCTCAAACTTAATAGTAAGTTGTCTCAGTTTAGTAACTGAAGTTGCACCAAACTTTGCTTTCAGGGCACTCCACATTTCTTTGGCTATTCCATGAAATCGAAACTCATGCATAATATCATTCTCCATATTGTTAAGCAACATAATGCATGCAGTGAAGTTTTTTTTTTAGGCCTCATGAGCCTCATGTCCCTTTTATATTGGGACGTGTTCTCTTTTTCAAGCTCATTGAAGATATTATTCAAAACATCAAGAATCTCTTATTTTTCAAGTTCATACTGAATTTTCATACTCCAGATCTCATAATTGTCCCTATTCAACTTTTCAACTTTGTTTGACTCAGCAACAATGTTCTTAGAAGTAGAAACCATTCAAAGCATAATTCTATATTCGAGAAACATATACACTAATTAATGCCTAACATTGCACACTTCTATTTTTTTTTTTGCCATAATGTAACAAATAAAATAGTAACAATCATTTACAAAAAAATGAAATTAAAAGGTCACTACATTCGTAATCAAATTCTATTTTTTAAATGTGTTTGATTATCACTAATTTATTTTATTATGCAAAATCAGTCATTTTAAGATATAACAAATCAATTATCTTAGAACTTCCATTAACCATAAGGTTACCAACATGTAATAATTAACATATATATATATATATATTGATTTCAAACAAGCAAGTCTTACAAAAACATTATTTGAATTCATAAACATGTTCATAATAAAAATATGTACATACTAAATATTAATAAAACATGTTCCTAATCATTTTGAATGACTTATCTAAGAACAAGGATAGATTTTATAAATTCTTTTAATTGTTTTGCTTTCACATTGCTCATCTATGGAGGTTTAAGAATTTTGTGTTTCCCATTACAAAAACTTGGGCAAACTAAAAAGGTTGCACTTCTCTTTGCTCCCATTCTCGTGTATTCCTTTATAAAATTCTTAATCAATGTTTCATATTTAAGATCACTCTCCAAAAACATCCAAATATCTTGAAGAGAATTTTCTTGTCTAAGTGTCAAAAGTTTACCAATCAACATTTCATATTTGACCTGGTCATTCCTAATATGCATACAACCACGCCAAATCAATTTTTGGATCATGCCATTAACTTGATGATATGCCTTTCAGTATCATCATTTGGATCTATTCGGTATTGCATCAATTTGACTATCAATTTTATGACTCTCAACAATTGCGACAATGTTCTCATAATGATAGAGTCCCTATAAAAGTAGTCATGATTTTCTGTAACAACATATGATAAAAATTATGAATTCTTGAGTCAACGCAAGTAAAAAATAATAATTAAGACTCATTTTAATCATTCTTGTATGATCCAATATCCAAATGTCAATCAAGGATAAAAATATTTATTTTTTATTTTTTTAATTATATATATTTTGCTTAGGGCATTCGAACATCCTATCTAGAAACTAAAAAAATGATCCAAAATGGTAAAATATCAATGGCATTTTTCTTTTTTTTTATTCTAAGAATTATCACAACATTAATTATAATAAAAACATAAAAATTATGTCAACTCCTATGAATATTCATAATCATGCAATAACATATCATGTTTCAATTATGAAGAACATACAAACGAACTAAAATACAAGCCAAACTTGGCTCTAATACCAATGTAAGTAAAGTGTATGCAAGATATATATGAATATAATCATATATATATATATATATATATATACTTGTTTAGCATAAGTGGAAGCAAAAATATGACTTGAATTATTGGTCGTTAAATAAGATCACAATATAAAAATTGTTTATTTTCACATAAGTCCTTAACACCGAATGTTATAATTATTTTCATTGAGAATTGTTAGCTATCAATCTTTTTTTTTTTCCTCTTCTTCCTTTCTCCCTTTCTTTTCGTGAGAATTTTTTTTTCTGTTTTTTTTTTGTTAAATGCCGAATGCCATTCATATTCAAGAAAATAAGATTGGCAGCAATTTCATAAACTACCCAAGGTAGTTTTATGTTGGTTTAAACCAATAACTACTCGAAGGGAATTGTTTTCTTAACGTGGGATATGCCCACTCATTTTGTGCGGCTATTCCAACAATAAATCAATTAACAAACTCATTAAAAAAATCAACAAAAAAACTTCATCAAGATCAACCTTGCCTTGGGTTTATCCACAGTGCAAGCTTCAAATTCATTTAAAAGTAGCACTAATTTGTTTGGTTTCTTTATTTTTTTAGAATAATTAATTATTAATCTAATGTAATTGAATAATTGCTGATAAAATTAAAATTCTTTCATTTTAAAAAAGTACCTTTAGTTTAATTTGCTGCATGTAAGCTATACGGGCAACCAACTTCTTGAATAGAAAAAATATAAGCCAAACAATCATGAAGTAGATATATTTTGGTAAAAAAAAAAATCATAGTTTGAGAATAAGAGAATGAATTTCAAGTATTGATATTTAAATTTCATCTTGATATTTCAAGCTCTACATAAGCAATACAAAATCAAAATTTAGTTCCTAGATAACAAAGAGAGGTGCAATAGTTCTAGGTAGAATGATATGGCTTGTACTAAATTGTCAGAAGCCTATTACAACAAGTTGAAATTTTCCATAATCGAATAAGATCTTTTCCAAGAAGAAAAACTAAATAAGATAATATGATTGACTATTAGGAGATTAAACCAATCACCTAAGTAAGGTTCTTATATATGATGCTTACATATGCAATAACCATAGAGCAAGCAGTTAAAAACCTTGATCATAGTACCCATGGCAAATCAATAACAAAAGGAGTTATTATGATCATTTTAATTCCCAAAGAGAAAGAATTATTGTTAAACCTCATTTAAATCTTTACTTATAAGTTGCAATTATTACAAGTTATAAAGGTCAAACTTAATGATTAAGAAAATTTAAAAAAACCATGTAAGATAAAAATTTAAATCTCACCATTCCATCTTCTATTTCTTATCTAATAAAAAATTATATACAAGGACCAAATACACCGTAAATAGACCTGGGTGTCAAGACCCCTTAAGCCTATGGCTCAAATACTTTGAACCTGACTTAGTGAACCCACGAAGCCCATTCATTATACATCATATCAGTGGTAATCTAATTCACATATTCATCACTTGTAACATAATGGGGTAATTTCTAATTATTAAGATTCCATCTGTTTGAACTTTTTGGTGGTTGGAGATAATAAATTAGTAAGACGGATTTAAGATTTTTTTCTTAATGAGTTTGTTTATAATATATATATTTATCCAAATGCCTAATAATTTTGTTAGTAAAAATGGTATTTGTGGGACAATTTTGAATGTAAAAAATTTTCTTTTAGATTTTCTTATTTTTAATTTTGGAGGTGTAATGTTAAAATTTTTAAAATGTCTAGAAAAAATTTTTCTTCAAATTTTATTAATTTTCAATTTTTAGAATGTCCATAAAACATCCCACCTTAAACACTAGATCCATTCTTACAAACTATTGTAAGTTTGAATATTTCACATTGAAGGAGTGTTTGGTTTGGGAGAAAATAAGATTTTTTTTAAGAATCTTATTTTTTTTATAATGTGATTTTTATGTTTAGTTTCGTAATGTGATTTTTTTAGATTTTTAAAATTTTCAACAGTATTAAAAAGAAAAAAAATAACTTTGAATTATAAACATTCATCTTTATGAGGTTTTTTAAAATTTCTAATAGAATGCAAAATTTATCTCACTTGAGCTCTTCATAAATAATTTTTACGATCTATTTTACTCTTTAATATAAAAAAATTGCATGATAAATCGATATCCAAACTAACACATACAAAACATTCTAAGGCTCTTCCTTTGACACATGATAATGATCATGTTTAAATTCTATTTTTCCAAAAATATAAAATTAATTTAGTTTTTATTTATATTGAGTTTCTATTCATTAAAATCAAATTTGTATTTAGTTTATATAATTGATTTAAATTTATTTAATAAAAATATAATTATTGTTAACATATGTATTTTTTAAAATAATATTAAATTATTTGAAATTAAAATTATTTGAAATATTAATTGTATTAAGATTTAAAAGATAAACTATATTTTTAAAATTTTGAAATTTTAACAAATACTGTGTTTTTAAAATAAAAAAAAAACGTAATGAATATTATGACTTTATTTTTGAAAATTTGAAGTTTTAACAAAAATCATATTTTTAAAATATAAAAACATAGTAGATATTAAAAATTTATTTTTGAAAATTTAAAATTTTAACAAAGATCTTGTTTTTAAGATAAAAGTTAAAATTTTATTTTTAACAATTTGAAATTTTAACAAAGATTGCATTTTTAAGATAAAAAAAATATGATAAATGTTGAAATTTCAAAATTCTCAACTTTCTTTCTTTTATTTAACTTTATTTATGAAAAATATTTTTATAAAAAATTAGTAAAAGGAGAAAATCCAGATTTCTTCTCTTGTATTTTTAATTTTTTGAATTAGCTCTTAAACACTATATAATAACTAGATTTCTACCCTCGCTTCATCAAATGCTTTTATATATATATATATATATATATATATATAATTTTTCATTAAATTAAAGTTAATTCAGAAGATTATTACAAACAGGTTTTAAAAAGTTCTTTTTTCTTTTGTTAGTACAAACTAAAGTGTAATTATATCAAGAGAAAATATAATTCCAATAGGAAGGAACTTTCTCTTGTCTTTTTTTTTTTTTTTTGGTGAGATTGAGTATTAAACATTAAAAGTTTGTTTAAAGTCATGTTTTATTTTACATCCTTTACTGATTTGACAATATTTGCAATAAAAAAAAACAAAGAAACAAATAAAAAAATAAAAAATCTATCAACCAAGTTGGAAACAGTTTCAGAACCCAAATTTTCTTGCTGCAATACTAGTAAAAATACCAGCAATAGAAAAGAAAAAAAAAATAACTTAATAACTAAAAAAAAATTTCCCCAACCAAAGAGATCGAAATCGAATCAGAGTTGGAATTACCTTCGAAATGATAATATATTAGTTCTCAACAAAAAACGTGTTAAGAAATTTGTCCATCAATATGCTGAAATTGAGGCACTGAAGAAGGCAATCCTGGTGGACAAATTTGATGCTGCCGTTACACGCGCATGATTATCGAAGCGGATTCTTTGCATCTCCCTGGTTTCGGCAGATCCTGCAAATGTCTTCCTCTTCTTTTTCTTCTATCTTCGCATCATACTTCGCCGCCACCCCACCTACACAATATAGTCATATATGTACTGTCCATAATGATATGTGCAAAAAGGACAAACCAGTATCAAAAGTGCAAAGGGTAATGATAACAGGCAAAAGAACCTTATTAAATATTGGTTTATATTGCCAATTCCATTTACCTTTACAAACAGTACTTGGAGCCAGTATTGGATGAACATCCACCCCATTGAGATAGGCTCACTTCAGGAATACCAGAACCTGCCACTACCGGAGCAATAAAAGCACAAAGAGCTGCAGCTGGTGCTGCCAGACCTAAATTGCAGCCAGCATACGCCGCAAAAGTCTTATAATATCTGCACTGAATCATTATCATGTTTGAGTTATCACGTGGAACTGTCAAGTAAATCCGCTAAAAAGTCTAACTCTAGACCACATTAGAGTTCATAATAAAAGGATAAAACTAATAAGTTTTCAATAAGTTGATTAGACTTGGGAGCATGAAAAAATATCACAAATATAGACCAATATAAAACAGTTGTTAAACATTAAGGATTATATGCAATCATGCATTTGAACTCATGAAAAATATTACAGAAGAAAATAGTGGACACCTGAACAGAGCCTTTTTTTTCTAATCGGCCTGAAACCCTCCCTAATTGGTTAAGCATTCTTATCAGCAGTTAAAGCGGTTCTACTTTGGATACACTTGTCACAAAAATATCCCAATGGTTCCTGCAGTGGTGCTGAAAAGAAATAAAAAAGGAACATTAAGCTTAAAAGAGAAAGAAAGGCAAGTAGAGATTTTTTTTAATAAACAGAGGGAAAGATGTACCTTGTCACAAAACCCCGAAATCAGTTCCACATCTAATGCACCTTGAAACAGCTTCATCAGGGATCTAAAAAAAAAAAAAAGAGCTTTTTAAAATTGTTTTTATTTGACTTGTAATTCACAGGTGAAAGAAAAATAAATCTTCCTTATGACTAATTTTTACCCAATGATCTTTCTCCTTAATGCTATGCTTTATCTAGTTCATCCAATCAGCAAATCCTCACTTTTGTTTCTACAGGTTTTTTTATAAGCTTAGATTTTATTATCCAAAAGAAGTAGAGTATAGCCTACTACAAAAAGAATTAGAATAATTCAATTAGATTTTTTTCTGCATCATTCAATGAATATTGTCATTTTCAGCTTTTTCATAACAATACATTCTGAAAAGACAAATAAAAGAAAACATATGAAGAAACAGACATACAATTAAAAGACCACTTTCTGAAGCTGAACCCAAAGAAGTTAGTTGTAGCTAATGACGTCTCTAATCATTCGAAAGCCATGAAAATCATAAAAAAATCATGTGTTTCACCCCATATGACTACAAATAGCATCGAGTTGGAGACATGCACAAAAAACTCAAAAAAAGTTGTTCTTTTCAAGTTTTCAAGACTCTAGCAATGGAAAGCTCTCAAGATTTGCAATTTTAATGACATTCTTTGTAATAAAAATAATCAGCAAAAGAAAAAAAAAAACACAAAAGCCCAAAATTATTTTCATTTCTTAATCACCATTGTTAATCATTCAATAATCATAGTTAATCCAAACACCAAATCAACAACTTTAATTAAAAAATTAAAAGTAAAACCCTAACTGAAATTAACCTATTTTACAAAAAAACCTATCATTTTATACCAGAAGTAATTCGGAAAAAAAAACAACCTCACATTGGTGAGCATTACTGTGATTGAGCCACTGAAGAAGGCAATCATGATGGACAAATTTGATGCTTCGCTACATGTGCAGGGGTATCGAAGCGGATTCTCTACATCTCCCTGGTTTCGACAGATCCTGCAAACGTCTTTCTCTTCTTCTTATTCCATCTTTGCATCATACTTCGTTGCCACCCCATCAACATTGATGACACCATTGACGGTGTCACTTTTTCTTCCTTTCTCTGATGATGCGCACGATGTTCTATGGAAGAAATGAGGTTTTCAAGATTTTAAATTAATTTTTAATAGATAGATATATTCATTTCTTCCTTCAATTATCGTCTAATTATTTTTAATGACATTGATGACATAGCTAAAAATCTTAAGTTGGGGATTGCTTTTTTGTTTTCATAAAATTTAAGCTTTTAAAAGAACGAACCTTAGATCTTGTATGTAGATATCTTGCTTGTCAACCTCATCACTTTTATTGTTTAACCAAACTTTCATGACAGTTGTGAGTGATATTAACACTCCAATAACATCTGCAGAAAAGTAATAAGTTAAGCTGATCCATACTTGAATACAAACCACTTTGATTGTACAGATTGTTTGACTCTCCATTTATACCAACAGTAAAACAATTTGATATAGAAGGTTGATATCCACTGTTTACATCGCATCTGATCAATCCATCTTCTGAAATATTACTAACAGGCATTGTTAAACTATCATTTGAATTTTGCAATCTTTTCCTATTCAACCTTACGGCATTCAATCTTTCAGTTCCCCTACCCCTGATCTGACAAAAAACTTTATCATCCCTTGTTTAAGCAATACCAAACTGAGAAACTACATTCAAAGTGATATTATCTTGTTTTCTCAATCTATTGGACCTTAATCTTTCCAATCTTCTAATCTTATTCTCTCTTGTTTGGCTAACATTATCCATACCTTGAAGATATAAGTTAACACATCAACCAATCAATCAATCGACAAATGCTTTCAGTTAATAAAAAAAAAAGACATCACTGAAATAGTTTTTTAAAAAATTCAGAAAATTAAAAAAAAAAAACTAAAAACACAAAAGACTCAAAGAATAACTTGATACCGATCAACATCCAATTTTTTCTTAATTGAACAAACACGTCACCTTATTTTACTTACACCTGAATTTTTTAGATTACTTTCATTTCAAGTAAAACAAATTCAATACAAATTAAAAACAAATACCAACAATCAATACATAAAAAATGAAAAATAATTGAGAACTACATTAAATAAAGTATCACAAAAAATCAAACAAACCAAACATGCAAAAACAAATTTAACAAACAAAGAGCATAAACAGAAAACAAAGGCAATAGCAATAAAACGCTTAAATAAGAAACATACTAACCTTAACATGAGAAAAAAATTAGAAATTGTGAATTTATTAATTCAATTCAATGATGCATTATTATATGAAAGAATATTTGGTTAGAGCTAGGACAGATAATGTTACTAGCAGCACGTTGACAGGAAGATTTGCATACTTGCACTTTTGACGAATTTGAGCTTGATTTCTTCTGAAAACCACTGTCAATTCCAAAATATAAAGCATTTAATCTAAAAAAAGAATCGAATTTTTAAGGAAAAAAAAGGGAGAATTTGGTAGATAGCTATATACCTGCTAAGGTCTCTTTCCTTTTCCTCTTTATTTATTTTGTTGAGTTTTGGGGCCAAAGTATCAAGGAAAAGAGAAACAGGAAGAATGGATTTTCAACTCAATAAAATTCTGTTTCTGATAAATGCCTAGGTTCATGCCAATCATTTCTACTTGGTATTAAAAAATAATCAAAATTTGTCCAACCTTTAAAAGGCACCTTTGGAGGCTTTACTCCTTTTGTCTCATTCTCTGGATCCATGGAAGAGTTTCACCTTGAAAATGCCTTTGGAGCTGCAAAAAGAATAGAATGTTAAAAACATACTCCAGACAGTAACCCAAAGAGACCAAGAAAGAATACAGTACCATTTTTACATTGTTCTGAGTCATTGGCAATCTCTCAGCATCTGAAAGGATGACTTCATCTTGTAGCTGCCAGCAACCCAGCATTACAAAGTCAACAGTTCAGGCAATAGAGGCCACTCAAAAAATAAAATGCCTGAAAAGTGAAAACACATAATCATTGGAAGGACCAAGCCTTGGGGTACATTTAAGTACTCATACAACTTCAAAAATACACAAATAATGTGTACATTTTATTACATTCATCACCTTTTCTTCCAAACACTTGCAACAAAACTAATAAAAACTACACCATCTTGCCAAAATTAGTAAAAACCCTTCCATTTCAATTTCCTTGAATATAAATCTACTTTTACTTTATCCTTATCCAGTATTTTTCAAGGTTCCGTGCCATTCGTAAAAGCTAAAGGTACCGAAAAACAAATTTCTATCAGTTCGGCATAGCAAAAGCATAATAGTACATGAGATTTTTCCCCTCAATTAGTTAGATCAGGACAAGTCCTACTGAAATAGGCGTCATTCAATTACCAGTATCAAAATCTTATACAAATGCACACAATTGCTATTAGGATCATTTCAAATGAAGATTTTCCAGACAATAACAAAACAAAGTAACAACAGAATGTAGATAAATCCCTCTCCACATCTCAAATAAAAACAATAATTACCTTCAAGTTGATGGAGACGCCCACGACGGTCCATGGCTTTCGTTTGGGCAGAGGCAAAACCTCCAGAACTGAGTTTGGAGTCTCATTCTCTGTCCATGATTCTCTTAATTCTTCTTTTGGCTTTCACTTCTTTTTTGTTAGGGTTTCAACTTGGGGTTTTTTAGCTTGCACGTAAATGTAAATTATTTCAATAATGAAAATCTAAAAATTAAGAATGATTAAAATTTTAGAAATTTTTAAGTGAAGTTCTTTTTCTTAAAATTTTCAGAATGGTAAAATTTTTAAGTAAAAGTTTCAATAACAAAAAAGTTAAGAATAAAATAACCATATATGAAATTTTTAAAAATAATAGAATAAATTTTGGAATTAAAATCCTTTATAAAATCAATGATAAAATTTTAAAAATCATGAATGGGTGATTATTTTAAAAAATTTTACTCGAGAATTTTTATCCTAAATATTTTCAAAAAGATGAAAATTTTAAACATAAAAAAATTTATGAAAATTAAAAATAAAAATAACAAAAATGAATTCTTAAAAATAAATGAATACTAGTCAAATAATGAAATTTTAAAAATCAAGAAAGATTGAATTTTTAGAAATTTTTAAATGAAATGTTTCTCTTTAATTATCTAGAATGGTGGAGGATTTAAATAAAATTTTAATAATAATATTGCTATTTGCTTTCAAACAACCATGAAAAATAAAAAAATTTTAAAAAAAATTTTAGAAAAGTTTTAGAAATAACAAGATAAATTTTAGTGTAAACAATGAACATCTTGAATTACCACTTTTAGTAAGTTTACAATTTTGAAGAAAAGCTCTAAAACATATAACGGTGCTACTTTTCTTAAGATTTTATTTACTCTCATTGTATTATTTCTTAGTAGGTGTGTAAAAAGGTTGCAAGCAATAAACTTTGATGATACAATACAGTTTAGTGATTGCTACATTTGTACTAATGAAATTAATTTATTAAGCATTCACTGATATATCACAATATCACTGAACTTCTATAAAGGTTTGTTGTAGCAATACTTTTATAAAAAAAATTTGAAGTTTGAAAAAAGAAGAAAAGTTTCAAAAATTGTTTTTTTTGTATCTTTTTCAAAAAATCAGATGAGCTTTTTATAAACAAAAGAAGTGTATTTTCTCCTACAGACATAACTGTCTAGTTTGAAAAAACAAAAATTATCTGCTTTTAAATAGTTAAAATTATTCATTTTGAACAGACTTATCTGTCTATTTTATATAGACTTAATTGTCTGTTCTTATTTTTCTGTTTGTTTTAAATAGATTCTAATCAATCAAACACTTATAAGCTTTAAATAAAATAAAATTTATAAACTTTAAATAAAATAATATTTTATTTACTCACTACACATGCCAAGTACCAAGTGTCATTAATTAAATATTAATATATACTAATTATTTAATTAATGCAAGACCACTAAGCTTGAAAAACCAAACGCATGGTCTATTAGCCACTTAAGTCTAACTACAGTGAACTTTCACTCCTCTTAATTTAAATGATTATCTTATCATTTTTTTTTCTTATTTCTCATATTTTATTTTGAAAATCTCTAACAATCCTCCACCATTTTTAAAATAATCCATATTTATGATGACTTTGAAAATCAATTTCATAAATGAAGGCATCTTTTGATTTGAACATTCACTTAGCGAAAACAAGTTAAAATTAACTGAAATCGCATGATAGATTACACTTTGAACCAATTATTTCATTTGGTTAACTAAACTTGTCTCACACAATAATTTCAACACCCAATGAATACTTGGTATCCAATGACATATTTATGGTTATGTATCTGCATTTTCTTTTCATAAGTACTATTAGAGCCAAACTTTTAAGCTTTTAGAAACAGCCACACTTCATACTTACACAGGTAACTCTCATTAAAAGTGTTCCTATAACTATAACATTCTAACATATTTATGTTATGAGTCTATTAAAAATATATTACTCATAATTTTTTTGACATTACGAGTACCTAGCACATTATCTAGGATGGCATTAAACACTATTATAGTGCTAGTGGTCATATACAGATGATGTACTTTGTCTCATTGAACTCAAAACTTAATGTTATACCAAACATTGAGTTGAGTTTCCATCATGGGCGACTTTATTTCATGAGCTTGAGCCCCATCCCTATTAAGGTGTTTTTTACCAACTTTCTAGCAAGACTTTTGGTTAAAGGATCTGTCAAGTTTTCACTTGACCTTACGTAATTTGTAGTGATCATTCCATCTAAAATTAATTATCGAACAAAACTATGTCTTAATCTAATATGTCTAGACTTTCCATTGTATACTTGGCTATATGCCCTTACTAGAGTTGCTTCATATCGGATAGAAATTAGAGAATTAGTTTAGGCCATAAAAGTACTTCATGTAATAAATTCCTTAGCCATTCAGCTTCTTTAACTATTGCGACTAATGCAATAAACTCAATTGCCATGATGAAATCTGTTATGCATGTTTGCTTCTTGAAACCTTAAAAAATAGCACATCCACTAAGTACAAAGATCTACCTGCTTGTAAAAGCATGATCTTTCATATTAGTAATCCAACTAGTATCAGAATATCTTTCTAAAACTAAAGGATATTCACTATAACACAATCCATAATTGATTATTTTCTTTAAATATTTAAGTACTATTGTAATTGCTTGCCAATGCAAGTTACTTGGATTACTTGTGTACCTATTTAACTTTCCAAACACAAATGCTATTTTTTGACCTTGTATAAGTCATCACATACATTTGGCAACCAATTTCTCTTATATATTGCAACTGATCTATTATTCTATCAATATTAGATACTAATTTTAGTTGAGAATCTATGAGCGTAAATACTGGAATACAATAAAAAAGATCAAACTTTTTTAGTACTTTTTAATATAATATGATTGTGACAAGGTTATACCACTATCATTTTAGATTATTCTAATTCCAAAAATAACATTCGGTACACCTATACCTTTCATTAAAAATTTATTTGACAAAAATTACTTTGTTTCCTTAACTTGTTTTGAATCAATTCCAAAAATTAGCATGTCATCCATATATAAGCAAATTATGGTTCTTTTCATTTTCAAATTTGCTCTATAGACACTTATCAGACCCATTAATTCTAAAACCACTAGTAAGAACAACGTTATCAAATTTTTGGTGCCGTTGTTTTGATCCTTGTTTAAGTCTACACAAGACTTTACAAGCTTACAAACCTTATGCTCTTAACTTTGAATAATAAATCCTTCTGGTTGTTTCATACATACTTCCTCTTCTAATTCGCAATTTAAAGATGCCATCTTTACATCATTTGATGTATAATCAAATTATAAATAGAAGCAAGTGAAACTAGAAGTCTAATTTGTAGCAATTCTAGCTACTAAAGCATAAGTATCAAAGTAATCTATCCCTTACTTTTATGTAAAACTTTTGGGTATCAACTTTGCTTTAAATTTATCTATAGTTCCATCTATCTGTATTTTCTTGTTGAAAATCCATTTATAGCCTATTGGAATAGAACTTGGTGGAAGACCAACCAAAATCCAAGTTTTATTTCCTATTATTGAGTCTATTTCATCATTTATTACTTTTCTCCAAAAAGCATAATCTTGAAACCTCATTGCCTCTTTATATGTAACAGGATCAGACTCTGCATTAAAATAATAAGGAATTTTATTGTTTATGCTTTCACCCATCCCTTTTCATAAGGAACATAAAGAAATCTAATCCAAAATCTTTTGCCTTTTAACCTTTTTAGTTGTCCTTATTTCTTGACAATATTCATCTCTATTTTTAGTTTGTTCCAATAGTTTTGAAATTTTTTTCCCATTTGTACAATAAATTGTTTGTAGTGGTTGTAGTTGTCTCAAAATATATTTAAATCTATTTTCATAAAAAATTACATCTCTTGATTCAATAATAGTATTAATTGAAATTAAATCATTCGACTCAATAACCATGAACTTATATGCTTTATTATTTTTTGCATATCTTATAAATATGCATTCTATGCCTCTTTCACCCAATTTTTTCCTTTTAGGTTCTAGAATTTTAACAATAACTTTACATCTCCAAACCTTTAAATATGGTTTTCTTTTCTTCCATTTCTCATATGGAGTTTTTTTTTTTTTGTTAGGAATTCTATTTAGTATATGACAAGCTATTAATAAAGCTTCACCCCAAAAACCTTGTCCAAGACCAAAATATGATAACATTGCATTTATTATTTCTATTAAGACTCTGTTATTCCTTTTAACTACATCATTCTATTATGGTGTATAAAGAGCAATAACTTGGTAGATTATTCCGGTGGATTCAAAATAACTTGGATTATAATATTCTTCACCTATTTTTGAACTCAAGCACTTAATAAAAGATTCACACTGAAATTCAACTTCAGATATATATATATATATTCTAAACTGATCAAGTGTTTTATTTTTGGAATATAACAAACAAACATAATAGTGTCTAGTACAATATTCTATAAATGTGATAAAATATTTCTTTCTGATAATGTAAAAGTGCTATGCATATCACAAATATCACTGTGAATTAACTTAAGTAACTTTGTATTTCTTTTAACTTTAGGAAATGAATTTCTAATAATCTTAGTCAACATTCATGTATTACATTATTAATGTCTTGATTAAATCAAGAATTAATATAAGCTTACTCATATCATGTAATTTTTTGTACTTTAAATGACCTAATCTGTAATGCCATAAATATGAAGATTCAACCATATAAGCAAAAACAACATTGTTATTCTTATTAATAATATTGAGTCTGAATATTCTCTTATACATATACCCTTTTCCCAACAAAAATTTCCTCCTTTAGACAAAGTAAACGTATCTGACTCAAATACAAGTTTAAAACCAAACTTGTTCAATAAACTTCTAGACATTAAGTTCTTTTTAACTTTTGGTACATAATAAACATCATTCAAAGTTAGAGTTTTTTCAAAAGTGAATTCAAGGTCAACAGCCTATTTGTCTTTGATTGTTGATGTAGAAGAATTTTTCATGTAGAGAACACTGCCTTATTCACTTTGTTTGAATATTGTGAACATGTTTTTGTCTTTGTACACATGTTTTGTTGCCCTAGAATCAACCCACCAAGATTCATCGTTTTAAAAC